ACACATATATATATGATCCACTGTAAAAGCAGGATTATAAGCTTGGGAAATTACAGATAACTTCCATGTGACATTTGGTATTTCTAAGAATAATATTATTAATGTAAATATTGTGGAATTTAAAATACTTGTAAAAAGGGAAAATATATAGGTGTGTGAAAGCCTTTTAGATTAAAATAAATGGAGGATTCACTTGTACAGATTCATAACTTAAGTGACAGAACACTAAGAAAACAAGGCAGCGGTTCTCAACCTGTGGGTCACGACCCCTTTGGGGGCTGAACAACCCTTTCACAGGGGTCGCCCAATTTATAACAGTAGCAAATTACAATTATGAAGTAGTAACGAAAATAATTTTATGGTTGGGGGTCACCACAACATGAGGAACTGCTGTATTAAGGGGTCGCGGCATGAGGAAGGTTGAGAACCACTGCGATAAGTGTTAAAGTTAGAGGCAGCAATTTCAATAGCATCCATTAAGGCAAAGCTGTCTGACTGCAGACCTGGAGCACACCGCAGAAAGCAATGGAAATAGCAGATACGGTAGTCTCAAGCTGCCAGCACTGGGCAACTTCAAAAGCAAGAGATGTGAATGAGTCCACTTCTAAATCACAGACTTGGGACAGCAGACCTCTGCTTGTTCTCACACTCGTGCTTCAGGTTGGAGTCCAATGGAGTCTTTCCGTTTCTTTAATCTGTAACAAGCGACTCTGGCTCTCTGTGTGGCTTACAGAGAATGCTGTATACCTTGAAAAGATAGAATCCAGAATCCAGAAAACCTATATCAATCACACAGCTAAGGTCAATTAGCAAGATAATGCTAGGTGGATTCTCCCATGAAGACTGGTGTTAAGCACTTTCCCCAAGGGCAGCTTCCCTGCTTTGGTTTACCTACTAACAGATGTGGAATCGCGATTCCATAGGAAGTCATTGAACATCACTGTAGGAGTATTTCTGACATCAGGGTGTCTGTGGGACAGTCCTATATGGAAGGAGCTCTTTGGTCCTTTTTACTCTCCCCCCACATGAGAAACTGACGAGTGGGGTGAGGCCTCCGGAAGAGTTGGTTTGAAGATGTACAAATTGCTGCGTGTCCAAAGTCTCTGGGCTTGTTTACCTCGGGGAAAGACTAGCAAGTTTCTCCGAGTGGCTTGCCACCACCGCAGAGGGAGCCACACGCACGAGACCACCAAACAAGACAGCCCGACAGACAAGACAGTAAGCAAAGCAGAGACTTAAGCAAAAGATGCTTCCGTCACGAAACAGGTGACCTCACAGTTTGAGGAAGCCGAGCCTGTCTAGGGGTACAACATTGGATTTTATAGGGGCTGGGTAGTAGGACCCCATTAACTTGCCTCACCCTGGATCCTATTTTCTCATTGGCCCTTATTCTTGCAACCATTTGAGACTAAAAGTACAGCATTTGCCCCAGAAGAAAGCTCAGCAAGTTAGAAGGGGCCAGAAATAAAGGGGAACCCTGGGTAAAGTAGAAAGGGGGCTATTAACGTTGAGGGGATTGCAAACAAATATGTAGGAAGGCAAAATGTGTCTAAGTTCCTTCAGATCTGGAAATGAACTCCTCTCCATGGCTCCACTTTCAGCCAAACAATAAATAGGTTGATAAGGGGGACAAAGCACTCGTGAGGTCTGCACACCTTAGAATAAACAAGCCTCTGAGATCAAAAGGCCAGCATTTCCCCAAGGATCAAGTTTCAGAGGGTTAAGAAAGGCGGAGGAATGGAAGCAGCAAGGACAGGGAGATGTTGCATGGAGAGGTTGGCAGTGACTGACATGAAATGTTGATGACTTGTTGAGTGTAGAGCTGCCGATCTGCCCTACAAACGTGCACTCAGTTCACAATAAAAGGTTGTTGTTGTTGTTTAGTGTGTATAAGTTCTTGAATGGAAAAAAAAAAGTTCCTGAATGGAAAACTAGGTTTTTTCCTGTAAGCTTTCACCCAAATCACAATAAAAATATCATCAAGAAATATGAGTCTTGGGTGCATAAGAAAATGTGACGAAGAAAGCTGATGGTGCCTGTCTACCAAAAAGTATAGCATCTGGGGTCTTAAAGGCTTGAAGGTAATC